CATAATTGATCTATGTCATTTGATTGTATTGGTATATGTGACCATTGATGGGTCGAGTCACGATAAATGTGACGAAGGCCGCTTTGATCCTATATTGATATAGTCAATGGACGAGATTGTTCGGAAATACCTTTTCAGTGATAGCAATTTTTGAACTCATAAGGGTTAAGTGGGAGATTGTTAGATTTAATCTAATAAATCTATTTGTGGGCACATATGATTAAATAAATGTGTATTGCTATCTTTCAGGATAACCCACTAAAGTGATCAATTAAGTTGGGTTAATTTGGTATTTAAATAAGTCATGGGGTTATATGTGCAGATACCAGGTTGTAATTGTAATTTGTTGAGGGGCCAAATTGCAAATATACAACATCTATAAATAAGGGGTTATGGTCCCTAACCTAGGGTTGCATTCTCTAATTCTCTACACCCCCATCTAGCTAGAGAAATTCGGATTTAGAGAAACCCTAAGGTTAGAAGATCATCAAAAACCCAAATCAAGACCTAAGGTTAGAAGATCCAAAACTCATCTCAAGGTTCATCCATGGATTCAGGTATAAGCTTCCGCTCATTTATGATTCTTGTTAATCTCTTTGAATTAATCATGGCTATATGGTTTTAGATCTCAAGTTTGATTTTTTATATATGATGTTTTGACTATAGAGGTTTTTTCCTTTAGTTATACGCATGTGCTTTTAAATTGAATTGAATATAATTTTTTTAAACTACTACTTCTTCTTTTCTATTTCTTGTATATACTCCATTTGTTTATGGATATGAGCATTAAAATGGCTTATACGATGACTTATAGCATATAGATTGTTGAAAATTAAGTAATCCAAGTTGGTGCTTTTTCTTCAAATAATTTGAAACATAAAAGAAATCTAAGATAAGGGAATGGATGACTTTCACTTCAAAGTTTGATACCCAGAGTTAGATAGTTTAATCTCCAACCTCTAGAAAGTTTAATCATTAACCTTTTCTTTATAATATTCCTCTTTATTGATAATACTTTAAGGAGAAAAAGAAAACGTCTACTTGCCAAGCATGTGGATATCTTTTGTTCCAAATTTTCAACTTCCAAATTAGATAGTTTAATCATCAAACTCTCCTTTTGTAATACATCTTATTTTTATAATATGTAAAAAAAAATAAAAAGGATATAAAATGTTGGCATTCCATGTGCGAACACAATGCTAGAAACATAATTTCAATGTAGGAACTGCTGAGATTTTCCTAGCTAGTACCGTCATCTTATGTTGACGTTTTATTACAAAAAATTTTGTGACTAGTATGAACTAAAGAGTATATTGAGTTAAACCCAGCAACATGAAGCAATCAAATAAAATTGTAGCTAGATGAGATGCAAGTCCTTCATGCATTGATTAATATAAAGCAGTCACATTCTTAAACCTCAATAATGTGATGCTTGCAATAGAATTTTAACTTAATTGGATAAATATATGTGGTTTTAAAATATTCATAAAATATCTTAAGAATCCAAATATTTGTTCCTAGAATAATCTTAAAAACTCATTAGAATTCAATCTAATTATTAGAAAAATTAGAAAAGCATGAGAATTCAAAATAATATTTTGAATAATTTGTGTAAATGATTTGTTTAGTTCTTTCTAATCAAAGAGAATATTTTTTGTGATAGAAAAGTTTTAAATTTTATAAATCTTTACATGTTATATGTTTTATATGATGTATTGTGTTTAATTAATTTTAAAGAGAGATACAAGTGAAACAATAACCTCCCTTTCTAGAAATCAGTCAAGACATGATTTCAAAGTAATAATAATAAATTTGACAAATTCATCAATAATATTTTAATAGGAAGACTAAGGACCAGTTTGATATTATTTTTAAGTTGTTTTTTTTTTCAAGAAGCAGTACATAATGGTGTTCGGTAAAAATTTTTGTTGCTTATGGAAATTTTCTATTTTTTGGAATTCTTTTAGAAGCAAACTGAGGATCCTTTTAAAAATAGCTTCCGCTTTTGTTAGTTTATATATCATATATTCATTGTATCTTTTTATAATGATCATTAAGCACAGTTCCACCAAACACCTTAATTACTTTTAGTGTAGTTTTTGATATTTTCTTTCAAAATTGCTATTTGTAACTTATATAAGTTGTTTTTATAAGTTACTTATATAAGTAACCTATTATAAGCTTCAGCAATACCAGACTGATCCTAATTCAACAACTTCAAATATAATTTGCATATGTATAATTTTGCATATATGATTTTGGGGTTAATTTTAGAAGATCCCCCTCAAATGTGGTGAATGTCTTAGAGAATCGTACTCAACTACTTCAACTTGAAAAGCCCATCTAAATTTGGGCATATTATAGATAGCACTACTCAACTTTAAAAATTAGAGAAGACCCCATCAACTATGTGGTGTCTCACAAAAAGCCCCATGTTCGTTCACACTTTTTTCACTAAACCTCCTCACACTATTTCAACATGTAAAACAACTAAAACATCCTTTTGAAAGTCAACTCATTCAATTACAAAAAAAACCAACCAGTAAAAACATAACTATTTTTAGTTTATAATACACTTTGCCCTCTTTCTTATCTCTTTCTCTTATAATAAAATATCAGGGTATTTTTTATGATTGAGGGGTATTTTCATCTTGTCTTAGCCATGATCCATCATCCTTGTCATATGACATGCTAGACCTAACAGTGATAGCTTTCATGGTGTAAAATGATAAGAGTTTATAGGGATTTCTCGAATTTCAAACTTGAAGGGGTTGTCTACAATAGTCTCAAATTATTTGAGAGGAGTTTTCTCAAATTAAAATAGTGGAAGGGATTTTCCAAGACACACCATATGTGCGTGTGTGTGTCACACACACACACGCACATATGGTGGGGTGGCTGGGGGTGGGAGTAAGTGAGAAAAATTCAAAGGGTTATCTCAAATTTTTTATATTTGATAATGTTTGTCTATAATATGCTCAAACTTGAGCAAGTTCTTCTCAAAATAAAATCATTGATGGGATTTTATAACAGTAATACATGACTTTATATAGAGAGACTCTTTATATGAGTTTTTTTTAATTTTTATATTTAAATGTATAAGTATGAGATTTCTTAATTGTGGATAATTATAATTTGAAAAGAATTAAAAAATATTTGAGTATTAGAATTTATTAATTATGGATAATTTTAATTTAATAAGAATTTATTGGTGAATATAACATTAGGTGTTCGCGATGTCATCTTTTGATAATAAAAAAAGAGATACTGATACTTATAATATGACATATGTTAACTTTTTATAGCTTTATAATATGACACATATCAATTTTCTATGCTTTGAGAATACATTAATTTCAAGTTATATATAAAAGAGGGATCCCTATATCATTTCTTAATCAAAACTCGAAAAGCAAGATTCGGAAAACCAAACAATCCCGTAACCCCACTGCTTTTTCTTTTTCTTTTTTTCTTCCACATTTTTATATAAGAGTGCTGCTACGGGGACCCAAAATATGGGACCAAGAAAGGGGACAGGTGAGGTGTCCCCTCCCTATTGCATAATGAGTTAGCATGAGTTGGCATGGCCAACTCATTATGCAATAGGGAGGGGACCAGAGCCGGCTTTGGAGGAGTGCAGAGTGATCGACCGCATAGGGCCCCCAAAAATTAGGGGCCCCAATTTTTTTATATTTATATATAAGAGAAATAAATCTAAATGGAACGTGGACCATCCATTTCACAACTCAGCTTAATCTCAACGCTCCATTCAAAAACCCCTCATTCAAAAACCCTACCCATCTTCACTGAATCACATCTCAAACCAGATCTGCTAGCCCCCAGCCCCCTCCTCCTCTCCCCCGTCGCACTCTGCAGTCCGCCCTCGAGTCCTCGACACGCTCACTCGCTCAGCCAGGGCCTCGCGGTGTCGCCCTCGCCATCACCGCCCGTTGTCCCACCGCCACCGAAATCGTCGACTTTGGAGCTCGCCAGTCACCGCCCCCGCTCAGCAGTCGGAGCTTGCCAGTCGCCGCCCTCAAAATCATCGCTGTCGAGCTCGCCAGCAAAACAATTCCTCTCCGACTTTGAGTCATTTCTTCGGGTATTCTTCTTTTTCCTTTATCCTTGTGATAGTTTTCAACAATTTCCTTTTGAAATACTATTTCTTATCATTGGATTATAAATTAGATTTGAAAAAGTGGAAATGTTGAATTCTACAGGTCTATTTGAATCTTCAATCTCGTGCAGCAGAAAAATTGGGCGGTAAAAAGAATGCTATTTGACCTTGCTAAGGATGGAGTAATCTTATGGTAAGCTGTTTGTAGTCTTGAAGAAGTTTTAGTCTATTTTTGGGATTACTTAGGGTTTTTGTTGATTGAGCAGCTCTTAGTTTGATGCTTTTATTTGATTTTTGTTGTTGTTGTAAATGCTTTGGATAAAATTCGTTACGAGAGCTTGACGGATAAGAGCAAGCTCGATACTCAGCTGGAGCTGTTTATTAGGTTGTATTGTTCCGAATCTTTTGACTTCTTTCAATTTGATTGTAATATTTTTTTTTATTATAGAAATGCCACCAAGAAAATATCCTTCTGGATATGATAAACGCAAAAAAAAAAAATGAACAATTTGTCCAAACTCAAAGTGGAGCGCTTGATAAATTTATTGTTAGAGAAACACAAGATTTAGTTAAAAATTCAATTGAAATGATAACATTAATGATTTAGGCATGAATGAGTATGAGAATGAAAATGTTGATGATCAAAGTAAAAATAAAAATGAGAATGAAAATGAGAATCAGAATATAAATGAGAATCATAATGAAAATGAAAATAATAATGAAAATGAGAATCGGAATGAAAATGAAAATGAAAGTAAAATTGAGAATCAGAATCAGAATGAAATTGATATTGACAATGAGAATGACAATATTTTAGGTAATGAACAACCTAATCAGTCTATGCTCATGAATTTGAATATTTATGATCCAAGAATTTGGGATAGCTTGGACACAAAATCTGGAGATATATTAGTGGAAAATGGTCCTATAAGAGATCTAAAGGCTTAATTAGTGATTTTGCAGCTAAAAATACAAGGAGGATAATTTTTCGATGATACTTTTTGATGCTAAAGGCTTCGATATCTGATGAAGGTAAGCACAGATATAAGAGGAATATAATATGCAAGTATTTCTTATTGTGGACTATTTGCTCTATTGGAAAGCTTTATTAAGGTGGGATTACATGTATTTATCTGATCAATAATATTTTATTCAGGTGACCGAAGAGATGAAGAATGGGCAATAGCACTTGAAAAGTATGTTAAAGATTATTCAGATGCAAAAAAATCAGGTAACATTTTAATGTCTGATCAGTAACATTTTGTTCCCTAGCTTCGAATTGGAATTTATTGATATTTTATATATAGAGAAGTGCCCTGTGTTTACTTTTCGCACAGGGCCCCTAAAATCTCAGAACCGGCCCTGGAGGGGACACCTCATCTGTCCCCTCACATTGTCCCATCTTTTGGGTCCTTAAATCATTTTCCTTTATATAATTCCTTCCATACAATTTTTCTCCCCCTCATTTTAGCAATGAAATCAGCGATCATGCTATATGATCCACTATAATAATATCTCTTAAGAAAACGCATCAAGCCTCAGAATAAAGTTCTGGTTCAGATTCAAAGAGAAAATACGCCACCCAAATTCTCCTATGACCATTCGCCACATAAACACCCTCCATGTGGGCCCCATCCTACATTAATCAAGTGCCTCTCAGCTTCAAGACGCACCAAAAGATAAAAAAACAAAAAGAGTCGGTAACTCGAACGTGGACGGCTCCTTCCCACCGATTACACGTGTCAGTATTTCACATGCCGGCTGCCACCTTTCATCTTTTGACGCATTCGGTGCCACGTTTTATTACAAATTTTCCAGTTTTTTTCCTAGAAATCCTGGGGCAGTTTTACACTGAAACCCCTGCTCTTTTATCTGTTTAAGCTATACTGACAGCGAATTAATATATATTTTTTGAATTAGCTGCAACGATAAAATTATCAGATTGGCATATTTTGTTGATCTTTAGTGACATATTGGTATATTTTTTTACTTCGGCGATAATTTAGTTGATATATTATGTAAACTACGACGATAAATGAGCCTATATTTTGGCCGGAGCCAACATTCCGGGCAAATTAAATCATATGATCCTCATGTGCGGCGCCCGCGTGGCTGTCAAAATGACGGTAATTGGGATTAATTAAATGACTAAAAGAAAATTTTTCTAATATTAGGGCTCAAAATTAGGATTCACTTTGGGAAATTTGATTCCTTTTTCTCCTAGCATTAAATTGACTATGGCAACTGAAATTGGAGTTAGATTCTATATCCTCAAGCCCTTGCTTAAGATCAAGCTCAAGTATGAACATAGAAGAAGCAAACTAATAGCTCAAGAGGATGGAAAAACCCTAATTTACGCAAATCAACTACATTATAGCCAAATCAAAATTTTGAACCCATTAAACAACACCATGCACAAGGGGAAGTTCTTCAATTTTTGGAACATTTATCCCCTCCCTCGCATGAATAGGAAAACAAAGGGTAGAGTTTTTTTTGGGGGATGTTGGATGACATGTTGGGTTTTTTTTCTTTACAAGTATCCTACCAATAAGCCCACTTAATCCACGTCAGCTGCATGTGAGGAGTCACGCACGTGACTCACCTTGGCCAAAACTCTTGCCCCGGCCAAAATAGAGGCTACTTTATGGCCATAGTCCACATAATATATACCAAATTATCGCTGGAGTAAGAAAATATATCAATGTGTCACTAAAGGTCAACAAAATATACTAATATGATAATTTTGCCTAGTTGCAACTGTCATGTAAAATATTTTTCAACTCGGGTTGACATTTTACGAGCTCGTATGTAATAAATCGCGATTACAGCTTCTATAAATTGTAAATGAGTACCAAGTACAGTTCCAATTGCAACCAACTCCCAACGAAAGTTTGATAACTCTAATACGTAAAACAAATATCTACAACAATACATCAGAGGAAGAATTATTATCTAAATGACGACTTAATTCTTTTAGTGCATATGGACTACCTGTGTTCAACATTATGTTAGGATTTCAATCACTGGTTTTCACGACACATGATAAATGAGTAAAATTAGGACTTTTTTGAAATTTTGCTTCCAGATGGTTAGAGATCACATCTAACATGTAACTTTTCAATTTGAAAAAACCACATATTTAATATTATTAATATATGGTAGTCTAACTTAATTCTAAAAATTTAAAATATTTTATACATACAAATTAAGTAAGAACACTTTAATTTTGACCTAATTGAAACATAAATGAATATCACGTTTCAATTAGGCACTGCGTCACCAATTTTGTCCTAAATATGATCTTATAACAACTCATTATCCTCCTTTGTTCCGTTCAAATTATCAAATTGTATAGTTATAGGTAAGAAGGTCTAAAGACCAGCTTGGTATTGCTGTATCTTATAATAAGTTATTTATACAAGCAACTTATATAAGTTGTTAAAAATAGTTGTTAGGTACTCAAACATCAAAAACTACTTAAATATCAGTTGAGGTGTTTGGTAGAACTGTGCTTAATTATTATTGTTAAAAAATAAAAGATATATATGATATATAAACTAAAAAAACATATACTACTTTTAAGAATATTCTAAGGTTGCTTCTAAAAGCACTCCATCAAAAGCAGAAGCAGTTTCATTTTGCAATAAGCATGTCAAAATATCTTTTCACCAAACACTATTATTAGCTTTTTTAAAAAAAAAACAAAAGCACCCTAAGAAAACAATACTAAACTAGCCCTAATTACCCAAATTGATACGAGTCGCCGTGCGAGCACCTTTGATCCCGGAATTATCAAAGATGTGTTGATAAAAGGATGACAGAAATACAAGAATAATTCAGTATATGACGAAGGAAAATACACTCTCTAGATTATGATATGAAAAGATTACAATCTCTCTCTCACAATCTCACTAGAATCGAGAACAAACTCTCAATTCTCTCTAAACCCTAATCTCTCTTGATTAGAAACTCTCTTTGATTACATCTGATTCCTAAACCTTTTGATCAAGATCTCTCTTAGATCTAAAACTCTTTAGGACTATATCTGGTCCCTCCTTCCTTTTTTTTTTTAGAAACCCTAAACAATCCCTATTTATAGGGTTTACAACGTGGTGACAATCTGGTAAATAACCAAAACCAAACCCAACTAGGATTCCCCCAAACAGAAACCAAATCGGCCTGGGAAACCCTCGATCAGTCGACTCATGATCGACTCATGCTCACTAGTCGACTCATGGTCTACTCAAAACGTGCACAAACTGTGCTGGCCTGCATGAGTCGACTCATGCTCACCAGTCGACTCATGGTCTACTCAAAACGTGCACAAACTGTGCTGGCCTGCATGAGTCGACTCATGATTTCATGAGTCGACTCAGCAGAAGCATTTTGCTATCTAGAGGCGATTTCTTGAGTTGACTCATCAACCCGTCAGTCGACTCATCAGGCTGGAAAAACTGAAATCTTTGATTCTTCGTTCTTCCGACTCGCTTCACGCTCTATCCTGTGCTCCACCATGTCGCTTCACACCACTATTCTCAAGATATCATAGGAATCACCTATCCTCTAGCTCCCATGAGGATCGCTAAGCTCCCGAAGTAGAGAAGAAGATACACACGTATCATGGCTCCCCTTTTTAAGAACTTAAAGTCCCTTTCAAGTTTAGAACTTCTGCTGAGGTAACTCTCGGGCCCCTCCATCTCTGTTGCCTTCAATCATCTTCTTCTTTCTTAAAACACGGACTCCTTCCAATGAAATAAGGATCTCACCTAGCTTCTTGTATTGCGATCGAGTCAGGACCATACACAGGATGCTCCTCTCTACCGGATCTGATCGCTCATTTACCAACTTGATACGAGTCGTCGTACGTGCACCTTTGATCGTGAAATTATTAAAGATGGGTTGATAAGAGAATGACAAAAATACAAGAATAATTCAGTATGTGGTGAAGGAAAATACCCTCTCTAGATTATGATATAAAAAGATTACAATCTCTCTCTCATAATCTCACTAGAATCGAGAACAATCTCTCAATTCTCTCTAAACCATAATCTTTCTTGATTAGAATCTCTCTTTGATTATATCTGATTCCTAATCCTTTTGATCAGGATCTCTCTTAGACCTAAAACTCTTTAGGACTACATCTGGTCTCTCCTCCTTTTTTTAGAAACCCTAAACAATCCCTATTTATAGGGTTTACAACGTGGTGGCAATCTGGAAAATAACCAAAACCAAATCCAACTAGGATTCCCCCAAACAGAAACCAAATCGGCCTGGGAAACCCTCGATCAGTCGACTCATGATCGACTCATGCTCACCAGTTGACTCATGGTCGACTCAAAACGTGCACAAATTGTGCTGGCCTGCATGAGTCGACTCATGATTTCATGAGTCGACTCAGTAGAACCATTTTGCTATCTGGAGGTGATTTCTTGAGTCGACTCATCAACCCGACAGTCGACTCATCAGCTGTCAGTCGACTCATCAACCCGTCAGTCGACTCATCAGGCTGAGAACTAAAATCTTTGATTCTTCGTTCTTTCGACTCGCTTCACGCTCCATCATGTGCTCCGCCGTGTCGCTTCACACCACTATTCTCAAGATATCATAAGAATCACCTATCCTCAAGCTCCCATAAGGATCACTAAGCTCCGAAGCAGAGAAGAAGATACACATGTATCACAAAATCTTCATAGGATATTCTAATTTTGAGGTTTGGATGTGATCTATTAGGATTCTACTATAGTTCAGAAAATCATTATTGTCTTAAAAACTACTATGGGCATGTTTGTTTCGATTCCTAAATTTATAGGAAGGGGAAGTCAAGCCATAAAGACATTTTTGCATTACTCGACCAATTCTTGGGAACCCTAATATTGAGTTTGATTACAAAGATATAGGGGTGAAAATGATGGCAAAATCCTTCTCTAGCAATTTTCACCAGTTTATTTCGTAGCAAAAAAAAAAAAAGGAATAGACAACTTCAGGAAAATAGTGGAACCTTTTACATTAACATATCACCCTCAAGAAACCCCCATTGTCTCTCTTCTAATTTTTTATCAATAAAACACCCCTTTTCTAGCTGTTTTCAGCCCAATCCTGCTCAAAAAACTCGAATTAGGAAATTCCTTAAAAAAGTTGGCAAGGGATTTTAAGAATGTGTTTTCATTTTCACTTGTGAGAACCCAACAAAAGTTTAGGATTCCTTTTAGATTATTTTTCATATTTTCTACCACGTTCTGACATTATGACACTGTTAGACCCTTTCTAAGGTTTTCTTTTTTATTCCTCGTTACCAAACATGCTCTAGTATGAAAACCACTTCGGGATAGTAAACATTCTATGTGTTTAATTATGGTAAAATGACCAGATTGA